ACAGGGCTACTATTTGGGGCACAGCCTACATACTTTTACAGGAGTGTCCAAAGGCCTTGGAACATTTACGTGTATGAATTTTTCAAACAGGGATGGAAATATACAAGGCATTTTGTCATTTTGCCTGTGTGCTCACCTGATCAGACTGTGGCTGCACTGAAGGTAGAATGTAACTGGCATTCACCCTGTCAAGCATTGCAAAGGATCAAGACAGGCAGAATGTGCGTGGCAGGGGCGGGGGGTGGGCATGAAGGGAAAGAATGAGCAGAAATAAGACTTCAGCTGAAAGCCACCCGCAAGGATCAGATCTGTTACTTCGTAATCACATCTTTTGCAGACTGTGTTTGTAATATTTTATGAAAGCAAAAACACAGGCAAAAGATGTTGTCATGTTCCCTTTTTTATTGGCTAGGTAATTTATAATGCCTCTAAGCTGGCCCAAAGATAAGAGGCCCAGCAGCATTCAATCGACAGAGTAGAGGGATGAAAAAGAGCATTAATTCCAGAAATGCATGTCTGAACTACAGGCGTGTGCTTTAGGAGACACAGGCGACTTTTCAAAGTACACGTATTGGTGGAAAAACGCTTTCTTTCTCTGGCTGCTCAAAAACTTTACAACTTTTAACGCATTTCTCTTCTTAGGCTATACATTTGTTTCAGGGATGCTTTGATGGGTTGGGGAAACTCAGTTTCATGTATATGGATGAGACAAAAAGCTAAATTAAATATCCATATTTGGCATGACAGGAGAATTTTGGAATATTGGGAGTCAGTGCTTCTTGGAATATTGGGAGTCAGTGCTTCATTAGTGGTGTACTGATGGATGGCCAGTCGTATGTGTCCCCTTCAGATTGGAATGTCAGGGAAGAGAAGAGAGTTAGTGGCAATTTCTTAGAAAATCTGCAACAAACCCTCATCTTGGCCGGGCGCCTATAGCTCAGTGGTTAGGGAGCCAGCCACATGCTCCGGGGCTTGTGGGTTGGAATGCAGCCCAGGCCTACTAAACAAAAATAAATAAATAAATAAAAATAGCCAGGCATTGTGGGGAGCGCCTGTTGTCCCAGCTACTCGGTAGGCTGGGGCAAGAGAATCACGTGAGCCCAAGAGTTGGCGGTTGCTGTGAGCTATGACACCACGGCACTGTACTGAGGGTGACAAAGTGAGACTCTGTCTCAATCAAAAAATAATGATAATAAAAAAAAAAATAAGCCATCTTGTCTTCACTCTTTCCTGGGAACTTCCGTGCTCTCCCCCGACTAAGGTCAGGACTCCTATGCCACTGATTCCCAAATCACCTTCTCCAGCTTCTGCTGCTCTCTTCAACTATTTCCGCCAGTCCCAAAGGGCTCCGGGACACTAACACCTCAAAGACCTGCCATGAGTTGTCATTCAGAATTATTAAAGAAAAAAATCATCATCTTAACCACCACGCCTGTATCTCTTCACGCTCAATTCTTCTTTTCCCTCCAGCGGTATTTCCCCAAAGAGGTGTGTAACCTCTTTATCCCGAACTCTCAATTTCCAAATAGCCTCTAAGTGCTAAGCCTTTTTGTCCATAATTTCACAATTTTTTCCACATACTTTGTCTCTCTGTTCTGCAGACTATTTTTGTTTCATTGATCCAGGGGGGAAGAACTATAATCAAAGAGACAGAGATTATGGTGTATTTCAAAGAAGAAATTTCTCGTAGTCAGAGCTGCCCATGGATGCACCACGGAATTCCCTGTGTCCAGGGATGTTTAGACATCACCAGTTGCCCAGACAGCAGAGTATAAATATCTGATGAGTGGCTGGACTTGATGATATTTAATATCCATCCAACCTTTAGATTCGATAGTTCTTTTTTCAGCATTTTCTTTCAGGCAGTTATTACCTATTCCTCCCCCTCTGTTTGGGCAAACATTTCAGTCCCAAGTCTGGGTCTGACACTTTGGGCAGCTTGGTATTTCTATGCTTCGTTTCTTCCTGACTATCTTTCTCCCCACCCCACATGTGCATGGAGATTCATTTGTTCATTCATTCTACCTACTATGTGCTAGGTTCACCTACTATGTGCTAGATCCTGGAAATGTGAAATCGATTGAGCCATCATTGCCTTAAAATATCATCCAGGGAATAGATACAAAGACTTCTATGTAACAGACGACAGGACAGGGTGATGGGGACATAGAAAAAAAACAGAAAACAGGCACCATTTAACCTGATCAAAAGACCCAATTGTGTGGACTGAGTTTTGAGGACACAATACGCATTATCTTGGTGAAGATGGGAGAGGATTTTTGAGAAGAACCACCACATGCAAAAGCACACAAGCCAAGTGAGCATGAAGTGCTTGAGAACTCCAATATGGATGGGGCAGAGAGTGGTGTGGTGGAAGAGGGTGGGTGAAGACAGTTTAAAAAAGGTCTGTGTTTAAGCTAAGGCTTTCAACTTTATTTTGATCATTCTGGGGTAGCTTCCATGTGACATGATCAGATTTGCTACTTGACTCTCTTCTAATTTGGAAGGGAGTCAAAACAGAGACAGAAAGATAAATGGATGTAAAATTTATCAGAGGTGATCAGAGCTCAGGCAAGGCCATGGCAGTGGGAATGAAGAGCAATGTCTGGGTTCTAGAAATATCATCTGCACCTGCAGAGCTCAGAGACGGACTAGAAGGCGGGGGGGGTGTGTGTGTGTGTGAAACATCCAGAGGGATCCTTAGGTTTTAAGTTATATAAGGAATATAAATAAGGAAATGGCTACTTGGAAGGTAAAATCAGAACAGTTAGTGCACTGGTCACCAAAGGGCAGAAGGAAGAGTAGACAGAAGAGATGCTGAGTTCAAAAACAGAAAGGGAACAGATACAAAGACACAAAGTTGTCTTCATGAGTATTACATAGTAATACCTAATTCATATAATTTATGGACATGTACTATACACATTCTAGGCACTAAACCTCGCATCAGTGCTACAGGGTAGAAATTAGTATCCTCATTTTATAAATGTGGGAAACTCAGACTCAGAGATGTGGAATAACTTGCCCCAAACCATCCAGTATCCACATAGGTTTTATGAGCCCCAAGGACGTGCACTGTCCCACACACACTGACTTCACTGAGCAGGGAAACTTGCACAAGGAGAAGACTTCTCCCCACCTTGCATTTCGTTTGAATGCAGAATATATTTCATTCAGCAGATTGAAACGATCACATGTACAAATGGAAATGTAGAATATAAATGTCTTAACACAATAACTAAGAAAATGACATGAAGGCTATGTTAACCAGTTAGATGAAAGTATTTCAAATTAGAAACAGCACTCTGTACCCCATGATAGTATTAATGTACACAGCCATGATTCAATTAAAAAAACAAATGGTATTTCCACTGTGTCATCAAAGGTGGGAACAGCTTCTCTTCACCTTGTTGGGTTTCTTTTAGGTTTTCCTTGATTTGGGTTTTTGTTCTTTCCTTAATGTGATGGGAAGGTGGAGATGGACTTGCCATGCAGACCAGTGGTTTGCAAAACATGGTGCCAGGACCTGCAGCCCTGGCTGCGGCTGGGAACCTGCTGGAAATGAAACTTCTCTAGCCCCTTTGCAGAGCTACTATATCAGAAACTGTGGGGATGGGGCCTAGAAATCTGCATTTGGACAAGCCTTCCAGGTGATCCTGATGCTGAAGTCTGAGAACTACTAATACAGGGCAGTATTTCGAACCCAAATGCCAAGCCGACTGCTTAATGAAAGCAGGACTGCTGTACAGGGCAACTTTGGGGAAAGATACCTTAGTTTCTTTGCATCAGCATGAAAAATCATCAGTATGAATCTCACACCACACTTTGGTGAATGCCGGTGTATTTAAACCCACCAAAATGCTTATCACCCGCAGAGTGCACAGAACAGTGATTTTCAACATGTGTGCCACGTCACACTGGTATGCCAAGAGACAATCTTAGGTGTGCAGTGATAATTTTTAAAGATCATTAATTATTTTCAAAAGAAGTTCAGAGCGCTGTAAGAATATTCTTTTTTATACTCTGTTCTCTGATCAACATAATTTAAGCATGCCACAGAAGTTTAACTATATAGGTTCGAGTATGCCTTGAGATTAAAAAAAAAGGTTGAAAAACACTGGTATAGAGGGAACCTGAATTCTAAGTCTCATACACCTGAACCAATTATAGGGTTTTTCAGAGAAATGCAATAGTTTCCCAGGTTAACCATCAAATCAGCTCAGGGTGAATGGAAATGCAAGACCAACTACGATTTTAAAATTAGATTTGCCATTGATCACAACTGAGGGGATCACCATCCACACATCTCCCTTATTCCTTAGCTTCTCAGAAAACAAGAAAAAACAAACTTTGGGAGGATACAGAGTATAGTAAACACGTAATCCTCTTCCAGTGGTAATTTTTTTTTTTCAGCAGCAAAGTGGTTAAGAAGGGCTCCTGAGTGAAGTTATACATCTGCATGTTTTATTAACAAAATATTATTAACATAGGAGGGCCCCACCTACGAGAGCCAAGTAGCCAATAGTTTTGGAGAGGGTGACTTCTCTGTATTTTAAGCATTAGAATTGTATACGGCGGGGGGGCGGGGCATAACGTTTGTGTGCAACTTACTATGTTAAACTATTTCAAATCGCACATGAACTTTATGTCCACCTGATCTAGTGGAGGGAAGAATTTGTGGAAAAAACAAAAAAAAACCAAAAAACCCGTCCAAACCAAAGATGGTATGAATGACGGGGGTTGTTGACAATTTAGGCCTGCAGGTGCACGCACGGCATCCTCCCAAGTGTGGAGAAGTCACGGGGAACACTCTGATCGAGGCATTTTCATCTCTGCTTTCCTTTCTCCAGGCTAACCTGAAACAGCTCTTTCTGCCAGGCGCCTGGCAGCCAGTTTTCCCACGTGACAAAAGCCCAGCTTCCCCTGTAGCTCCTTGTCACTGTTGGAGCACACAGGCCGACAGACAGACAAACACTACCCTGACGGAGCGTGATACTAACCTGCTCATGAACTTGTACCGGCGGGGCAGGTAATAGATTTTTCTCCTGGAAGAACAGCAAAAATGAAGCCAGTCGAGAAGAAAACCCATCGTCAGTTACAGTTTGAACTAGCAAGGAAGGAAAGGAGATTGAAGATAGAAGCCTGTAAGAGGTGAAGAAGAAAAAACTAAAAAGAGATTAACAGTGAGAAACGTAGTGGGAACACAGGGCACACGTTCTTGCATCATGAAATCCTATGAAACAGTTTTCATTCTTACTGTTCCCTCTCCTAACTACCACAGGTTTTTTTTTTTTTTTATTGTTGTGCTTTGCCTACAAAACAGGTGCAGGGCGGTTATTTGGAGTGATTGGTATTTGCACAGATTCAGCTGAAGTCAGCTTTTTTCCCCAGGAAAATGCAGAGATAGATTGTGGGTCAACATACATAATTTAACGGACACACTATTATATTTGCTGATACGTATAAATAGTGCTTTAAGTTGACAGAACACTTTTCTCATGATATAGATGAATATTAAAATATATGTATATTTTACAACCAGGAGGGGAAGGATGTTAATTTAGCATCAATACCCAGCTCTGAGTGAACACAGTGGGGCACCGTGCCTAACTATTGGCCCTGGTTATAAGTAAATTAAGAGGGGAAAACCAAGGAATTCTGGGGAAAAAAATTTTCAAAATCAAACTTAAGATTTTGTCATCTTGCTGTCTATCTCTCTTGAAAAAATATTTAAAATGAGAATCCTGGGTGTAGTTTGAATGGAGAGAACACACAGTTGGTAGATGCTTTATTAAAATCCTATCTCTCCATATAACAAGCTTTAACACAGACTGGTAATGAAACTTGGTTTGTGTATATTCTGAACTATTACTGAATGAGTGTACTTTTGGAAAATGGGAAAAATACGAATAAAATTGACAGAGTCTATCAATGCGAATTTTCTAGTTAGGATAATGCACTACAATTTTGCAAAATGTCACCGGGGGGAGAACAGTGTAGATGAGCGATCTCTCTTTATTATATCTTACAACTGCATACGAATTTTAAAAAAGATAATGGGAAGATTATATACTATAAAGTGTTTTGCGTACTTGTAGAAACTTTAAAAAATCCCCACACTTTAGGCAAAAATCCTGAGACAATGAAAAGATTGGTGGTTGCCAGAGGTTTGGGGTGGGGGAGGAAGAATGAGTTCGTAGAGCTCGGGGTATTTTTTAGGACAGTGAAACTATGTATTCGGGGTATTTTTTAGGGCACTGAAACTATTCTGTTATACCATGATGGATACGTGACACGCATTTGTCAAAACCCGTAGAACTGGACAACCAATTGTGAACCCCAAGGTAACCATGGACTTGAGTTAGTAACATTGTATCAATGTTGGTCTGTCCATCATAAAAAACATACCACACTAACTCCAGATATCAATAACAAAGAAATTATGAATTGGGAAAGAGAGGGTAAATTGGAACACTTTACTATCTTCTCATTTTTCTGAAAAGCTAAACATTCTCTAAAAAATAAGGTCTATTAATTATTAAAAAACATACCCAAGGACATATAGACATTTAAAAAGCAGGTTTTATCAGCAATTTCTCATAAGAAACCTATTCCACAATTCCCTTTTAAGCATTACAGGGGTAAGAATCCAAGGAGATTAAACCTGGGGTTCAGAAGCACAGTCTACAGAAAATAAATACTCATAAGATTCTTTGGGGTATTTACATTTAGCCAATATGATGTTTGTACAGTATGTTGAAATGTTATGGCAGGAGAATTCCTCCTTTGGAAACACATGTATATCCTCAGGCTGGAGTTATTTATCTGAAACTGTGGATAAGATAATAGCACAAATTTTCAATACGTCAGGTTGCACCCAGGGGAGCTCCGCTTAGGTGAAATCCGGCCAGTATTAACGAGGCCAATCAGCGTCACACGTTAACAGCATTTTCTCCTAAAATGTCCTACAGGAATTCCTATATCTAAGAAGATTATTGTTCACATTCATTTTCCTGTTATTGTTTAGTTCCCATTCTCTTCATGCGGCACAAAGAGGATACTCATCATGCTTAGAGGCAGCACGTTTCTGCCATGTGACGGGCACGAAGGAGGATTGTCTCCCCCGTGGCCCGGCCCTGCAGATAGGAAGTCTTTGTACGTACTAAGGGAACTTGCTTTGTGTTGATATTGCTCAAGTTTCCACAGTCACTCTGGGTTCTGTCCTACAGATGTGTGTTCTGGCAGAAAATTCTATGAGATGTATACTAAGGAGGGAAAGCCAATTGCTATTCAAGCATATTTTGTAATGTTTTCTTTCATTCTCTTTTGGTTCTTCAGTGTAATTAAAGTGAAGCTATTAATACATATTAGATAGTTAAGAAATAACTTTTTCTTTTTTTTTTTTTTTTTTGAGACAGTTTTTCTCTGTTGCCCAGGCTAGAATGCCATGGCATCAGCCTAGCTCACAGAAACTTCAAACTCTTAGACTCAAGCAATCCTCTTGCCTCAGCTTCCTACGTAGCTGGGACTACAGGCACCTGCCACGACACCCAGCTATTGTCTACTTTTATTTTTTAGTAGAGACGGGGGCTCTCTCTTGCTCAGGCTGGTCTTGAACTCCTGAGCTCACGAGATCCACTTACCTCAGCCTCCCTGAAAGCTAGGATTACAGATGTCAGTCACTGCACCTGGCCTAGTTAATATTAATAAATGGCTTTAGCTAATTATTATAACATTTTCAATGGAAGCCTAATTGATATTCCTTATCTCTCTTAGTAGAGATCTATATGTGTGTGTGTATATACTTTTCCTTTTTAGATTTCCTTTTCACCATTTAAATATAAAAATAAACCGTAACATCAGAACTACGTCTATTTACTTTGAGAATTTTGCCTCCAGTAAAACAGATGCTAGACATCCCAGCCTCTACTTTGGCGTAGTATTAGGACACAAAGGCCAATATACAAAGAAATAAAATGCACTAGGCGGTATGTTACAGGCCTATGAAGGGAAATCACCCTTTTCTAAATGTGCCCCTAGCCCCAGTCTGTCTGTATGAACACAGTTGATTCTTTGTTCCATAACTTTCCACAGCTCATGAAGGGGTACGTTATAGAGTTGGCCCAATTTTCCTCATTCCTGTCATCTGCCTTGGTCTTACTGGCACACACTAAACCAAAGGCCCTCACGTCTTCAGATCCGATTGGATCTGTCCATGGTACTAAATCCCTCCACATCCTTCAGCAGATTCCATCATGGACCCCCACGTACCTTGGCATTTATAATTTAAGGTTTAATACTTTATTTCTACATCGCCAATGGGTTACTTTTCCTTAATCCATGGGGAAAATAAGAATATTAATTGTGAGGGGAAGATAAATCAATCCTTTTGAATAATGAAGGAATACATACAATTATTTTCAATTTCCCTTGGAACAAACGTCAAGAGTCATGTTTGTACAGTATCTGTGCCTTTTCTAAAATTTGAAAATAGGTTTTCTTTTAAATCCCGTTTTCATGACATTTCTTGAACTTGTTTCTATGAGAGTAGATTTTAATGTTTTTCTGGAAGGAACTGGTCAGTCAGGAGCATGAACAGAACCCCCTGGGCCACTGATGCCTGGGGCCTGGCTGCTCAAAGCAGGAATACGTGGGACTTCTAAAAATGGCTCTTTGGAAATAAAAATGCCACTTGGGAGATGCTTCTTTATTATAGGCACTACAAATACCTACCTGCTAAGAACGGAATTAGCCAGAAATTTTTGTAGAAAGGCTTAAAATCGTTATGGGCCATGAAGACTTACTTGCATGTCCTAGAAATGTGAAGGATTTTCTCTTCTAACAGCTTTCCAGTCTGCATTTCAGATTTATTTGTTCCAAGAAAGGAAGACATTAGGTTTATAGTGGAGCAGCAGAGAGTGGGGGAATACATTTCCACCTACCTGAAAGGCATTCTTATATTCATTTGTTCTGCGTATCTTCCAAGGACTTCCCATGGGGCATGCAACTTCACAAAGATAATGTCACTATTTATTACAGAGGACTGAAACAGAAAAAAGAAACTAAATTGAAAAGTATATCCAAGTCTCCTGAGGTTTCAACTGGGGTGGAACTTAGAACGGATGGAGCTGTGTGGAGTTCACGATTCGGGCCATTCCTCAGCCCTAAGCCAGGCCCCGAAGGGCAAACACATTCATTCAACAAATATCCCTCTGTGGGTCGGCACCATGCTTCAGCTGGAGACCCAGCTGTGAGCAAGAGAGGTGTGAGCGACATTTACTTTCTGCAATAAATAAATAATAATAATAAAGTTTATAGGACAGGGATAAATTCAGATAATGAAGTTAACAAAGTAATGGGACAAGAGAAGGGGTTATGTACTACTGTGGACCAGGGCTCAAGGAAAGTCCTCCCTGTGGAGGTGACACGTGAGCTGAGACCTAAAGGAGGCAGCTGGGTAAAGGGTGTGAGTGTTCCAGGTGCAAAGGCCCTGTGCTGGGAAACTGCTCAACCATTTGTGTGAGAGAGAGGAGAGAATAGCTGGGGAGAGAGCAGCAGCAGAAGAGGCTGAGAAGGTGAACAGGAGACGGAGCGCTCAGAGCTTCCCAGGGCATGAAACAGTGACTTAGTCTAGAACACTGGGAAGCCACTTTGATCTGGGTTTTCAAGGATCACTGTGGCAGCTGCACAGGGAATAAATTATAAGGGAGGGTCATGGCAAAAGCAGAGAGAAGGAGAAACGTCCTCAATCACCCAGGCAAACGCAGTGAGTGGGTGGAGGGGGAGTGATCTAAGAGACGTGAGATCTAAGTCCGTGTGGGCATCAGGCCAAGCTCTTTCAAAGGGCGGCATTCTTTGGCCTCGGACCTTTGGGGCTTTTTATCAATACAGAATTTAGGGAAGTAAAACTAGGATGTCATGCTCTGGTAACCACCCAATAGCTTTTGGTCCATGCCTCTGGCCAAAGGGACATGAAGAACCAATTAGGAGATTTCATTTTGGAAGTCACCTCCTGGGGAGAGGCGGGTTGTGGAAGGAGGAGGAAGGACGGTGAGAAAGCAGTGAATCCAACCATTTTAAATCGGTCAAGCGACCGTTTACTTATCCTCATCTTTCTCATACAGGGTGGCTCTGGGCTGCATAGCATTTAAGTTATGTTTTTCTTTTTAATTTGTTTCAGATTTATATGAAGGTACAAATGATTAGGTTACATTATTTACATTTGTCAAATGAAGTTCATTTACGTTTTTACAGTTTAAAACTTGTAAAGTTTAAGAACGTTGACAGATACAGTAGGACTTTGTAGCTAATATTACTAAATACCAGTGCTGTATTCATAACCAGCCAGTTATTTTTTGCACAGATGACAAAAAATGGAAGCTTAATTTGTGGTCCATCTGGGGTAAATTTGCACTTGAAGATGATGTATAATAGTAGCTCCTTTCTCATTTAATTCAGGGTCATTGTGCTTAATGGATACGGACTCATTGAGATGGTATGAAGATCAAACTTGTGTCAGGACAACGTTCCGATTAGGGGCTCTGGTACAATGCTGAATTTCCCATGGGCAGGAGAGCCCGGGCTCATCTCCTAAATGGTGGGGAGCATGGAGCACCCTCTGATATTGGCCTAAAAAATCCAACTTTCTGGTAGTTCAGGAAGTTTTATCTTCAACTAATGCCTTGAGTGGGGGATAAGAAACGTTTCTGTTAGTCGTGGTTGAATCCTCTGCCCCTCGTACACAGAGGGAGGGCATACCCAATATTTGTTGATCTGTAAATATTAGTAAAATGTGGACAGTTCAACCTGGCCCAGGAGAAGGCCTATAAAGTGGGAAGTGACTGCCAGGGAAGTGACTTTTGGAGCTAACACAGCAGGTTACTGCAAATGAGGGACAAACATGGCAGCAATAACTGAAGATGAGAGGACCCGTGCTTTGTCTCTGTAAAAACTGGGTTCTGGTGCAGTGACCTATTACAGGTGGTCCTCCCTGCACAGGTGCTGAGAGCTAAGTAGTCAGGGGGTAGGAGTGAGCTTACAGGCTGCAACGCTGGTACAGAAGACACAGAAACCTGAGACCCACGTCCCCCCCCCCACTATCAGTCTTGCCCTGCTCGTGCCCACAATGCACTGATGCCTTGGGGATTGGAGCTGGTCTCACAGCTTTTCAATTGAGCATTTCTTGGATTTCAGAAAAAGACTGCTGCTTGCTTTTCAATATACAGTACAGTGCTCCAAGTTATAAAGCAGACGAGAGGCCATATTTCCTAAAACGATGTCTTTTTTTGTTTATATCAAGATACACTTTAGAACCTGGCAAGGTCTTCGGGCTTCCTCAGTTGGAAATTTTAATTACGAATAAGGGGACTTCTTTAAATGCATAGAATATCGTGCCATTGTTTTTTCTTTCATCTTTTATGAAAGAAAGAGTAAAAAACTGCTCAACGCAGGAAGACGACTTTTAGGAATGTGATTGATTTACTGAATCAAATCTTGATTTAGAGTGGAACATCATGCTTGTTCTCTTTCTGGATTAACTGAGATTGCTAGTTTTGCAGACAATAAACAAACTAGTGGAAGAATCATCATTTTGGAGATCTCTCATCAATGTATGAAAACATTACAGAGAATATGTTAAAATATTCCACTTCAGGAACGCTTTAAATATTCTGTGTGTGGAAAAGCCACATTCATTATCTGAACAAAGACTGAGCCAACCGAAATTCTGATGTGGAGTCTCAAACCATTTTTTACCTAAAAGCATGCTGTTTTCATTTATTCCACCTGATAAAACTAATTTTTAATTATAACAATGACACCATCACTTTATTATTTATTTTTTGTGCTCTGTAATTGTCAAAGTATTTTTACACGTTGTCTCATTTTGTTCCCACACAAACCTTGAAAGAGAGCTTTTCTTTCTTTTTTTTGAGACAGAATCTCCCTCTGTCCTGGGTAGAGTGCCATGGTGTCATAGCTCACAGCAACCTCAAACTCTTGGGCGTAAGCGATCCTCTTGCCTCAGCCTCCCCAGTAGCTGGGACTACAGGCACCCTCCACAATGCCTGGCTAGTGTCAGAGATAGGGTCTCATTCTTGCTTAGGCTGGTCTCAAACTCTTGAGCTCCAGCAATCCACCTGCCTTGGCCTCCCAGAGTGCCAGGAATACAGGTGAGCCACAGCCACTGCCTCTGCAGTGAGAGAGGTTTTCCTCCTGTTTCTCAGAGGAAGAGAGAGAAACAGGGATAGGGATCTACCCCCAGCCAAAGTAAGTGTTTATTCCCAACAGAGTTGATTCCATACCAGTATCTCTTGACTCTCTAGTGAATTATATCTGCTAGCTTCTGAGATTTAAACAAATCCGTGGCTTTGTACAGGCATTTAAGATGCATTTTCTCTGAATTATGGCTTTCTGGGTTTACACAAATTACTCTTAAAAGAATTTCATATCTTAGAAAACAAAGCAACAGAACAAAAAAGCACTCCACAGCGTAAAGTAAAATTCAGTCACTGATGAACTAAGATGTGATATGAGGCTATTCAAAGTTATTTTGATTATCTCGAGAAAAACTATTAACTGAATTCCCTCGAATGATGATGAATCTACTCGTGAGTCCTGTGCATGTGTGTGTGTCCCTTTTACGACTTAAGAGAAAAAAGTTTAGTGTGTAGGGCTTATAATTAATGTTCAGTTTTTCAAGGAAGAACTAAGAAGGCATTACCTACCGCTTGGTACTGAATGCCTTCTGAACTTCAGCCCTGCAAATAAATGTGGAACAGATGACTGCTAATTATACGGCCCATACATCACTCTTTTCTCTACCGCGGAATGATTACCCTGCTGTTTCTAGACAGGTCTCTCCCCGTCATTAAGTTTTCCTTTCCACATAAATCTAAGGGTGCAAGTGCCAAAGTGAAGAGAAATGAAAATCATTTTCATAAGACAGAGCTGTTTCATTAATATGCTGTGATAAAAAACTCTTAGGTTAGAAGCTTGGGGGAAAAGAAAAATGAACATTTAAGGCCAGGCGTGGTGGCTCATGCCTATAATACTAGCACTCAGGGAGGCCGAAGCAGGTGGACTGCCTGAGCTGAGGAGTTCAAGACCAGCCTGAGAAAGAATGAGACCCTGTCTTTAAAAATAGCTGGGTGCTGTGGTGGGCATCTGTAGTCCCAGCTACTCAGAAGGCTGAGGCAAAAGGATGGCTTGAGCCCAAGAGTTTGAAGTTACTGTGAGCTGCGATGCCGCAAAACTCTACTCAGGGGGACAAAGTGGAGAAATTATTAAGTAGCATGAGAACTACGCGGAGAAGAAATACATAAGATTCACAAAAAACAAAATAAAAAAGAACAAACAAACAAAAAACCTAATCCTTCCTTCTTTCCTTCCACAGGAACATATTGGGCAGCTTCTATGAACCAGATGCCATGAGAGGAGCCAAGAGCAAAGCATTTCAATCAGGGGCACGGTGAGTGTAGCAGTCCAGAGATTATACATGGGCCAAAAGCTGAAAGGCTGGGGTGAGGGATGCCGTAAAGTGTGAGGCGAGGAGAGTTATCTGAGATGGGGCAAGAGGGGAGAGCTGGGAGCTGCCCCTGCTGGGCCAGGTACTATGTGATGAGGCGCTCTGATTTCCTTTCTAAGGTCACTAAGAAGTCACTAGTGGGTAACAGGCAGGGAATCACTTGTCCTAGAGAGTGTGTGCTAAATCTTTTATGGAGAATGGTACAGAGGGAGCACAGGAATGGGAAGTTCTACAAGAAAGTTATTCCAGTAGGCCAGGTGAGACAAGATGGTGGTTAGAACCAGAGAAAAGAGAGAAACGGGCAGACTTGAGACCTAGTAGAGGTAAATTTGAAAAGGTGTGGGATTGATCAAATGAGGAGAGTGACCAAAACATATCTGACATCTAGTGTGCAAGTTATTTTGCCTGGAAACCGGACAGATGGCACTACCCACACCTGGAGGAAGAAGGGCTGGGACCATGCAGTTTGTCCCAAGCTTGTGCAGGTGACAGCGCACCTGGAAATCACAGTGGCCTTT